CTTTAAACCATTTATTTTAAACATGTGAAGCTACACAATGGAAAGTCATTCAAACAATATGCTTAGGTCTAGTTTAAAACCTGAGCTCTAACCTCTGGATTTGTTAGCCTCATTCTAAGTTAAACTTTCATTTCCTTTAGACCGGTTTTTACTTCCCTGCTGCCAGTGACATCAACATCCTGCCTGTCAACCTTAAACATTTCATAAGTATTTTCAGGCTTTCAGTAAGGCAAACAGTGAATCTTGCTGGGAGTCTATCTGAGTCCCATGGAATAGCCTATCCATTACAATTCTCCAGTTCACTACCATCTGTAGCTCAAACATACATTGCAACCCAGAATTTGTTTTTTTAATCTTGTATAAGAAAATCATGACACATGCAAAATACAATAATAACCATGGAAAAAATTTCCATGTTGTCATTTTTTCCTTTCTTTTTTTTTTTTGGAAGTATTTCCTCTGCCACTTCATAAAGACAACTGAATGTAATCCTGAGGCATCGTGTGCAGCCTTCCAAAAAGAAAAACTGAAAAACAAATAGGACAAACATTAAGAACTGCAAGTAAAGCCATTCAGTTACAGACTGAATGTTACAGGTGGAATGGTACGTCACAAAACTGAGGAATGAAGTGTCTGCTTCTGAGTGCCTTAGACAAACGAGGGATTGCAATAAAATTCACAAGGGATTTAATAATTCAGTCATGGGGGGGGGAGTGTTATCAATGGATTTTGTTGGTATAATAAATGTGGTAGTGGATCAGCTCTACTTTACCTCCTGGAATATAGACTCTGCAGTGACAGGCAAAGCTACGTGCCTTATTTGGAAATATTAGAATATAAAAATAATGCAGTTGTCATTTCTGACAGCCATGAATGCCTCTGCAAATAAGCACCTTCTCTTGAGCTTCTGGGGCACAGTGCTCAAGCAGACTAGAGTATAATACAAAGATGACCTTGTTGCTCTCTGTACAGCTGTACATACAAGCAGATTCACTGTACTGCTTAGGTAAAGCTAAATCCTTAACTCAGGTTGGCATCCTTAAGGGTAAAGGAACAATACAGGGCCTTTTTATGTATCTGTTTATGGAGAAAATATGTCAGGAAAGTAAACAATAATCTCTGAAAGTGGGAAGAAGCACAAATTCCTAGTGTTATCAAAAAGCGATGAAGAATTAGAGTGGATCAAATATGAAATGGTTTACCACAGTGAATGTGCATATATGTGTCCTAGAGGAAGTAATATAGGGAGGGCAAAAAGTCTTTTACTCAGAAAAGAGGAAAATAAGGAAAAAAATCTTACTTTATGTAATTTTTTCCTCTTGGGAACAGATATATTGTAATAAAAATGTAGTAACTTTAAAAATTTTAACATATTTAAATACTTTAATTTTGTAGTTTCAAGGACTTGGCTTATTAAGAACATACTGTTTCTGAATGGTCATTTGGGATTTACTTTTTTGGAAAAATTTTTAAAATTCTGCTGTGTTGCAAATTCTGCAAGAGAAAATCTCACATTATCATGTGAATATCAATCTTGGACTTTTATACAGCTTTCACACCTTTGTAGATCTTATTAAGAACAGCCTCTTCACAATGTAAAGGTATATCATTGCATTTTTTAGCTCACCACTTTTTCATTACTGTATCATTTTAGAAAGTCAAAGTTACAGTTTCATATTGCTGGGTAAAACTGCACATGTATGTCTGATAGCAACATATGCATGTGCAGAGGGATTTGAGGTCTTAAAAGTTCCCTCTGAAGAGACTGAGGAAAGCAATACATCTCATTTAGAAAGGAAGAGATTTATAATTCATGCATGTTTATTAATTATTATGTTTAACTACTTAATGCCAGCTATATGAAAAAAATTGCATTTATACCATCCTGATAGTTACTTAATTGTGCATGAATAATGAAGGAATAAAATCCTCAAGCGAAGCTGTGCCTTCAGAATTGAATTATGAATTGAATCCTTTTTTTCAACATCAAAGTCTTAGATTTTTAGTAATGGTGACTATTCTGCTCAAATGGTCTTAAAGAACACCAGGGGTCTCAGTGTGGGAAGTTCTGAGACTATTTTTCCAAAGGTGAATGACATTACCTGGAAAAAACGAGTAAGATTTACCTTTTTTTCTGTGCAAATTTCACTTGTGGAGTGTTCCACAATGCAATGTTAAAGATTGGAAACGGAGCTGCAAGAGGAAGCAGCTCTAAAAAGACGTCAGGAATTCTGCATGTACATATGTATGATCCTGGGCGCATTTTTAGCTAGGGCTTCTGATATAAGGATGTCAAACAGCACCTTCGGACAAACCGGTTGGGAGGGACAGGTCGGGGGCTGGCAAGAGCGCGTCCGCACTGCCACCTGGTGTCAGCGGTTCTGTCACAGCTTCCCCTGGCACCTACCGGATCTACCGGGGCGCGCAGTCCTCGGGGAGTCCTTCGCTTCGGTGTCTTTACTCGATATGGACCTACCAATAGGTCTGATGAGTGAAAAACTCTCACTGGCATGATGCATGATGTTTTGCTTTCAGCTGTTTCCATTTGTAAAACAGTAATGTAACGGCTTCCTGTGAAACCACACAAGCAATGCCGGTGTTCTCCTTCGAGTGGTGACCGTACTGGGCTCTCTGCTTTCTGTACATCTTCTTTAGTCATGACAGTTTTATGTTCCTCCATCCTCACCTGTGTAATTGCCTCAATTTTTGTTGCCAACCCAACATAGTATCTGTCTAATGAAAAATACGATGGGGAAAAACTAACATAATATGACCAGCAAATATAGTTGTAAGTCTTCTTCCTCATCCTTAGGGAGTTCAGTCAGGCTGCTCAGAGCAAAGATGGGGGAACTGTGTAACACTGCAGTCCAGTCAACAAACATGGCACATACAGTCATCCTGTAACTGAAAAAAAACGCATTTATTTATTCTTAAGTTTTCCAAAGAAAAACTTCAGAAGGTAATAAGCTGCCAGTGACTGCAAGCACTCTAACTCAGACTACTTGCATTTTTAGTAGTCAGGGTATTTAATGCCCCTATCTGAGAAGTGTCAGTATTTAATCCATCCAGTGATCCTCTGATAGGATTTTAAAAGAATGTGCTGCTTTGAAAATTAGTAATTATACTGTGAATAAAAGGAGGGGAAGGGAAAAGGGAGGAAAAAAACAAAAGAAACAAAAATGAAAACCAAACTGTATGTGTAACACAGTCTTTTCTAAAACGGGCAATCTTTCATTTCTTCAACAGCCTGATGGAATCTATAGACATGAGCAAGCACTGTGCTGCCACAGGGAGGTGCAGGGAGTTAGGGAGGACTAGTGTTTGGAGATTCATGTCCCTAACAGCTTCTTCATGATGTTTATGTTCATTGGATATTAAGAAAAAGGAAATCCTTTATGCAACTTAAAAAAATATCTAGATTGGGCTTTTTCACCTTCAGAATAACCAGGCTTCTGTAATTCAGCCCACCCTCAAACAAATATGGACAAAAATCTAAATTCTTATTAATTCCTTTTTTTCTACATGCAACATGTAAATTGGTTTTATTCTCATCATAGTGAATTTAAAAATACTGTGTACAATCAGTCTCCATTTACTGCAGTTCATTGTGAATCTATACAGACAAAACCTTGCAGTTACACATTTGTGTTACTAATATTTGATATATTTGCCTCACAGTTCTCTAGAGTCTAGTGGACTCACATTTTATATTATTAGATATATTTATTCAGTTTGGCAAAACAAATATATATTGAATTTTGGTCTTGGAAGGTTTTTTGTTATTAGGGCAGAAACCTTTCTATATGACATGACAAATCTTTGTGGAAATCCTAATTTGGCCTACTTTGTATCAGTTTAGATGTTCAACGTTTTTGAAAATCATGGTATTTAAGTGCAGGGTTTAATCATTGTGCATGCTATGTTTTTTACTACTTCACACAGGCTAGCTTCAAACTCTCAATTTTTATATGACTTCTATATATTAAATTCCATTGAAAAGTCAGGCATTGCTACGGACAATAGTCAAAATATGTGTGAGGACAAAAATAATAAGTTTATAATCTATCTTTTTGCTAATAATCCCTTAGAGTTTGGGCAGTGCGATCTTCAGTTTGTGGCCAAATCTTGTTCAAACCTATGTAGTCCTACATATGTTATTGTTTATGATTTTGTGGGCAAGAACACCATTCGTCTTGTTTTAAAGAGTAAAATGGCTAAAATCAATATGCAACTTTGTGATGTGAGTAGGCAGTCCTTCTTCTTGACCTTGAATAGAACTACTGAGTGGCTTTATAGTCCTCCGTGCCCCCCTTCTTTGATTCATTTAATTAGGTCAGGACTTCCCAATACTCTGCTTAAATGTGTCTGGTTTTAGACAGACATACACCTTTCTTCTGAAGAAGAGAATGATATCTCCAGTGAGTTTTTCCATTGCGATACAGAGGTCTAAGGCTAAGGGATGTTGCACAGCCTTGTTACTGCTTTCTCACTTCAGGGAAGGTACCTCATTTGTGCCTGGAAGTTCTGGTATCCAGAATTCTTCTGTTGGCAACAACACTGAGTCATGCAATAGCTTCGTTCTTGCCTGTTGGCTTGACCTCTCTTTGGGAGGAGACCTAAGTACATAGGAAAACAATGCACAGCATCATCTCTAGCCATCAAGTTGGGATCTGACAGTTAAGCATGGGAAACTGAACTGCTGATGCACACCTGCCACAGTGACATCATAATTCCAACCTAAAATGGGTACGGTAATGTTTTTTTTTATTTACTGAAAAAAGAACCCCCACAACAAACAAACGAGCAAAAAAAGGAAGCTTAATTATAGTTAAGATTGTATATGGAACTTGAAGATGACAATTATTAAATGAAATTAATTTCACCTGAAAGTGTATAGTCTATGTGTGCTTGAAGGGATTTGATATATCTGAAGGTAAGTTGAATTGTTATAACGTTTATCGGGCAGACAGTTCTTGTAATACTGTGGTTTTCTTTCATAGGTGACAATATTGTATGCTGTTCTTCACATGAGACACAGCTTGAAATATTTTGATAAAATGAGATGCTTGCGGAAAAGATCAGCAGTGTCATTCTTAGGAATCCTTGTCGTTTGCTTGCTGTTCATGAACTTGTACATTGAAGACGGTTATGTTTTGGTAAGTTTTTTAGATGGGAGAAATTATCCTAGAACAACAAAACAGGATGCATCCCTAGTTAAATGCTAAATTTCATAATTCCTTCAATTCTTTCTGTGTACCATTAACAGTGAAGTATCCTCAAAATGTGCCCTTTATGATGAAACCATCTTCCTAACGTATACCACATACAGTGTGTCAGTAGGATCCTAACATTCCTTTTCACGGAAGTAAATATGTCTCTGTTTATTGGAAGTATGGGAGATAATGAATATAGCAAAACATGAAAGTATCTCCATCAGGTGCCCTTTGAGTCAGAATATTCTCTGTATTTTCCATACTTCTGGATTTCCCTCAATTTTAATGTTGAAAATAGACTACATCTGAAATATTTGTATGAGCTAATTTCAGTCCACACTGTAAATCTCACCTGTGAATACTGCATTAAAGGCTATTATAAAAATTAAATTATAAAAGAGAACTCTCATTAAGTCCATCTACTTTAAGCTCCTTGCATGAATAATTTCTTTTTAGTGGTTTTATTTTATGTTTTTCTCACCTTCTGTATCTCAGATTTGAGTCTGACAGGTTCAGTGCTACAGCATTAACAATTAGACATGAATTCAACTTAGTCTAAGTTTATGATTTTGAAAAAAAAAATAGAAAGATTTGTGTTAGGAATTTCAAAAAATAAGCTTCTAACAATGTAACATAACTCTACAGTTTGTATGTAACATAGGGGTGTCTCAGTGCTGAATGTAAAACAAGCCCTGAAGTCTTGATTAGTGGATTGGATTTCCGGTTCTTTGGAGGTTGGACTGGGTCCAGTAAAAGAACATGGTGGCTTAACAACTGGAGCTTGCAAATAGTAAAATGACTAAACTGAATATGTTATATTATGATGTGATTAGACATTCCTATCTTGATCTTGAATTGAACTGGGAAAGTATGGGCTGGATTTCCAATATTCTGAAGGGTGAAGTTCAATCTCAGTTGGACCTGAAAAGAAACACAACAGTATTACAGAAGGTATAGTACACAAATAGTAAAATCTTTAAATTACTTATCAGAACCATATATAACTTCCTAATTATTTTAATTCAAAATATTTTACTTCTGAAATTACTTATAACAGTATTGTAAATATTTACAAATTAAGATTATGTTAGTATTTTTTTAAGTCACTGAAAACATAACCCATGCCTCTATCATATTACTCCATTACAGACATATTGCTTTCTCTAAAACTAAAGTTTTGCACTCTTATTTATTTAGCAATTCTTGGTTATGATCAAATTTGACCTGGCTTGTCACTTTTTTTTTCCCTAGTGGTATTTGCCCTGATGTTTCTTCCCCATTCTCTAATTGCTTCAAAGTCCCCCAGATGTTTTTGAAAGTGCTTTTATTATTACTGCTAATGGTGTTATTCTTGGTTTGTTTTTGAAATCTTTTCCTGTCCTGTTTGCCAGCTCCCCAGATGGCTCCATGTCTTATTCTTAATTTTCTCTCCTTTTCCCCATTTTTTTATAAATTCTCTCTCTTTCATTGCTTCTCTCATCACAGTTCTGGCATGTTTGTATTCATGTAGCTCCCAGCCAAGTCTCTTGCCAAGTCTCCTGACAGTTCTTCCAGATCTCTTGATACCTTTATGGTCCATCAAGTATTTTTCAAATGTGTTAGTCTGTTGACTTTTTAGTTTATTTATTTTCAGCTTCCCTGACCATGTCTGACAGCTCCAAACACACTATGTCTGGTGTGTTTTCTCTGTTGAGGTAAAAGATGAGCAATTTCAGTATTTGTGGCGAGGAGAGAGAAACTTCGGGAAAGCCTTTGAGGACAACACGCTAACCAGTTCCCCTCAGGGAATGAGAATATGAAAGTCCTCAGAGCCCCAAAGGCACTCTGAATTGTAGCCTATCTCCTGCTGGACTATCTGCTGAAGGCAAGTGATAAAAGAAAGGCAACTGACCCTGAGTTCCTCTTCCCGATCTCAGGCAGCAGGCTGTGCAAGGGACTGTGGAGTTGATGTCTCTGGCACCACATGTAAGATTAGATGAGTGGTCTTTTTCAACATATTAGAAAATTAAAGTGAGATTTGTTATGGCAAGTCTTAAAAAGGGAGAGGAGAACCTTTCTGGTTTTGCTCAGAGAGTATCACATGTCCAAAAAATCCCATCACTGTTTTCTGCAGGGCATTTGCTGCAGAAATGGAAAGAGCAAAATTGCTTAAGTATATTGGATAGAGGGTGTGCAGTTATGCACTGCTGATGCATGTATATTAGAAAAGCAGTTTAAGGTGCTTCGTCTGCAACATATGAACTATATTTGGTCAAATATTTTGAAGATATACTGAATTAATATATAGCAGATATCACAATATACGCAGTGGAGTTTTTAAACCTTTTCAGAGTTGTAAGTGAACTGTAAGCAAAACATGTGTTTTGTGCTCTTCTGTGAATATTTATCACTATTTTGGGCACTATGAAAACAATAGTGCTATTGTAGCTGACATAGCATCTTTAGCAGAGCAGAGTATCTCCATAAAGAATGGAGAACTTCTGGCACTTCAACCTATGGCACCCATATAAAACCCGCAAGCTTCAGCAAACACTGGAATGTAAGTTAGAGGTTAGTTAACAGATGAAAGCCAGAACCATCATAGAAAAAACTAGAGAAGACAAACAAAGAGAATTAATCAAGCTTCTCAGCTTCACTGACCTCTGCATAGTAGTCTGAGATAGAAGAAACAGATTTTAATCTTTTGGAAAAATCCATATGTCAGTTTTGCTCATCATTCAATAAAGGAATGAAAATAACAACTATTAAAAAAAAAAAGTTAGCCACAAAAGGCATTTATTAAAAAAAAAAGGAAAATTTTTGTGGTCAGCTTAAATATTTTACTTGTTAAAATCAAAACATTTTGTTCTGACTTTGTCTATTTCTAAACATTTTGAAACTTTTTCTGTAGGAAAACCTCAGCAGAATGGGTTTCCATTCCAAAACCTGCTTATGAAACAAGGAATTTTGGTGCTCTATTCTGGAACCAATGACACATAATGTTTTGACATTAAGGAAAGGCTGGTTTTAAAAAAAAGAAGTTTTGGACCAGCCCATTTTTTTTTCCATCTGATATTTTTCATGGAAAATCTCCTAAAGTTTTGGTGTATTCCGTTCCTAGACCACTGAGTTATATTTTAATCTTGAATCCGATCATCGAACTTCCTCTCGTAACATATGAGCAAATACAAAGTAGCACAGAAGCAATAGAGAGAAATTACTCGAGAGATAATGTATATTTCAGAATAAATGAACTCATTTCTACGCGGGCCTGCCATCAGACTAAGATCAAACCAGGTAAATTAAACAAGCATTCCTACTTTTAAATTCAGTCTCATGACATTACAACCCGTTAGATACTTTCTCTTTTCTTAAGGACTAAGCAACAAATTTTTCCTGAAGCCCAAGTGACCTTATGGATAGGGCACTACCCATGAAGCTGCTCTTTCCCTTCTGTGACTTTACTATTGTTAGGAAAGCCTTTTGGAAGAAAAAGACTGAAGGATGAGGCAGGAAGAGGAGGCATGGTGAGAAATGTGCCTTTTTTTCTATGCCATCAAACAGTGTTCATCAAATTCAGAGAAAGCTTTTGCTGTCTGCATGATCATATGTATTTCTTCTTATCACAAATGTGAGTAGAAGCTTCTCAGAAAAATGGCAAAATGAGCCAGGTGCTAGAATCGAGTTTTGTCTTTCATTTGCAACAGGTTCAGTGGCTTTTTTAATCACTGAAAAAATCTCCCCCACTTCTACATCGATGAAAGTTATCTTATCTGTTGCTGACAAAACCCTCTTTTGAATACCACAGCATTTTTTTGCCAATAATTTAGTATTTGCTATTTTTTCAGAGACTTTGTGCAAATTATTTTTTTCTTTTCCTGTTACTGTAATCTGAAGGGTTGTGGTAGATTTTCTGTAATGTTTCAGTAATGTTTTGTTTTGTTTTGTTTTTTTTAAATGAGGTGACATATACATGCTTTCTCAAAAGCTGACACTGAAAAATGTTATTCTTGGAAACCTGCCTGTCCATGTTTCCTCTTTAGCTGGCACTCACAAATGTGTTTCTCTCTGTCTCTCTCCCTCCTCTATTCTCTTTGTTTTCCTGCTATTAGGAAGGGGGCAAGCAACAAATCAGAGAAACAGCCACGCACCAGCTCAACCCAGAGCGTTATGTTCACACTTTTAAAGATTTGTCTAATTTCTCAGGATCTATAAACATTTCCTATCGCTACTTAGCTGGCACACCTTTGCCAAGGAAAAGTAAGTAACTGCAATCTGAATGTTATGAAATGAGGCAATTTAAAAACAGGTGAAATCCATATAGTCCCTCTGGTATTTCTAGGCAAGACGGGCTGAGTTAAGCAGTGACAGTCTCAAAAAAGTTAGTGGGACAGTTATGTCTGCACAGGCAGTTCTAGAGTGGATGCAAGTCCAGACCTAGCAGTGATTGCCCCAAAGCCTGGTTACCTTCTGACCAAATGGCTGACTTGCAGACAGCCTGCAAGCAGCCCCCGAATGGTCTGTGTGAGCATACTTCTATGGATGCCTCCTCCCAGGCAAGATGATGATGATTTAGAAAGCAGAAGCAAGGCATGTATGCTGGTGGTTTTCTGTAACAACTCTCTGAGACCATCCTGTGAATCTCTGTCTGTATAACCAGTAAATCCAATCTTAAGTATGCTTGGGACCCCATAGGTACAGCCTTCAGGTTCCCTATTCTGCCAACCCAGCAGCTGCAAATGGAACTCCTTGTTCCTTTAGCTGTGATAATAAGGGATGTGAATTGTGCTATTATGGGGAAAGTAAAGAAGGATTCTTCTCAGAGCTATCTGCAGATGGACTATTTAGTTACTCTGATTTCAGACGAGAAATCAAGTTCAAGACTTTCCTCTAGAAGTGAAATATGGCCATTCCAAGCCTTTAGACAGGTGCCCTTTGTGTTCCAAATCAATCATTTCTCAAAGCTCAGAAGCTCAAAAAAAGATGGTAAAATAAAATAGTTTGCTATTTGTAGAAAGCTATAAAGTTTGTTAAAATTAGATTTGAAAAATTTGGGGCTCTGTAGGCAGTGTAAATGACTTCTGGGATTGTACTTCACTGTACAACTGCTTTTTGAGCAGACTTAAGCCTCAAGGGAAACACTGAATCACTATATCAAAGCAGTCTTTTACAAAACATCATATTTTAAGAAAGTTGGGGTAGGTTCAACTGAAGTACACCCTGTCAATTATAAAGTCCTAAAATGTTTTACATCAGAAGTTAGAAAAATAGAGATGTATTAGCAAATATCTGAAAAAAACCCTGATTTCAAATGCTGGTAAAAATGCAATGGCAGTGACTACAAAATGGCAGAGATGAAAATTCTTCCTTTATAATTAAAATACATCTCTTTCTAGAAAGATGTAACAGCATTAAAAATTATTTGTACAAGCAAGAAGAGAAATAAATTCTCTTTTACTTTAAAATAATATCTAAATTGCATTTTGCAAGAAGGAGTTCCCTGTAAAATGCTCAATGAGTCCTGAAAAAGACTTAGACAAAGAACTAGCAAGGAAAACTGGACAAATTCAGCTAAAGAAGGAACATGCTGAAAATAAATTATCCATGCAAAATCCATAACACTGTGCAGTTGTGTATAAAAGTTGCTAGACTTTTAGAGGGTTTAAAATTATAAAAGTTTGGTAATTAGTCTATGTATCATATTTTTGTGCTGCATTTGGTAGTTCTTAGCTTTAAAAATACTCTGTGAGTAATCGCCTCATAAACCCCTTTCTTTAGCAGATTTCAAACCCTTATAATTTTCTGTGTGGTTTCATCTACCAGGTGTATACATACACATTGCTTTCACATCTGACCATGACATGCTATTCCTTGCAGTTAACAAGTAAATGTTTAACACAATAGTCTCCATATGTCTATTTGCTTGCAATACATTGCTTCTTTACAAAAAGGCAATAAAGGTCCTTTATTGCATGCAATTTAAGTTCACATACCAAATTTCTCACTCTTCACCGTTCACAAGATTTATTTCATATAAGCAGAGCTCTGGAGAACTAGAGAACAATTTCTGACAAAATTGTTTCCAATATCAAATACCCAGTTTTTGTTTAAATTGTCTTTTGTACAGGGTATCTTACAATTGGACTATCCTCTGTAAAACGGAAAAAGGGAAACTATTTACTTGAGACCATCAAGTCCATATTTGAACAGTCAAGCTATGAAGAACTCAAAGAAATCGCAGTGGTAGTACAACTGGCAGATTTTGACTCAGCCTGGTGTGAAGGGATCGTCCAGGATATTTCACAGAAATTTGCACATCATATAATTGCAGGCAGATTAATAGTTATTCACGTCCCTGAGGATTATTATCCTGTACTGGATGGCCTCAAAAGAAATTACAATGACCCAGAGGACCGTGTGAAGTTTCGATCAAAACAAAATGTAGATTACGCTTTCCTTCTAAACTTTTGTGCTAATCTTTCTGACTATTATGTGATGCTAGAAGATGATGTTCGCTGCTCAAAGAATTTTTTGACTGCTGTTAAGAAAGTAATTACCTCACGAGCAGGATCCTACTGGGTGACTTTGGAATTCTCCAAACTGGGATACATTGGAAAGCTTTATCATTCTCATGACCTCCCACGCCTGGCTCACTTTCTGTTGATGTTTTACCAAGAAATGCCTTGCGATTGGCTGCTCATCCACTTTCGCGGGCTGTTAGCTCAAAAGGAAGTGATACGTTTTAAGCCATCTTTGTTCCAGCACATGGGATACTACTCATCTTACAAAGGAGCTGAAAACAAGTTAAAGGATGATGATTTTGAAGAGGAATCATTTGATATCCCTGACAACCCACCTGCAAACTTGCACACCAACATGAATGTATTTGAAAACTATGAGGCAAGCAAGGCTTACAGCAGCATTGATGAGTATTTCTGGGGCAAAGCTCCTTCTAGTGGAGACTTCTATGGAATTGTATTTGAAAAACCCATCAAAATCAGTAAAATTAAAGTTGTCACTGGAACTGAAGATCGGCAAAATGATATTTTACATCATGGAGCCCTGGAAGTAGGAGAAAAGATTGTAGGCAATAAAAAAGGGAGACAATGTACAACTTACTTGAGACTAGGGGAGTTCAAAAATGGGAATTTTGAAATAACTGATGTAGAGCACAAAGTTCTGTTTGATATTAACTGCATGAGAATACTTGTTACCAAAAGTCAAAAAGAATGGCTGATCATTAGGAGCATTAGCGTCTGGACTTCTCAAACACCAAATCAGTAAAGCAAAGCCACCTGAGGAGGTACAAAGTGCACGCAATCATCTGGGTTCCAACTGGTGAAATTCCCCAGAAAAACTGACACAACTCTTCACTAAAGACGTAGAAAATCTGGGGAAATCACAAAACAAGTAAAGCAATTTATTTTTTACTAGTTTGGTCAGGCAATATACAAACATTTATTTGCTGAAAATTTTGAATTTTATAGGAGATCTTTAAACTCTTTTTTTATTATTATTTCTCTGGAAGAGAGATCTTGTGGACCATACAGAACAAAAACAACATCCTATAATTGCCAAAAGGTTTAAATCTATGACAAGTATGTTGTGAAAAAAGACTGAATCGCACCTTATGCACATAAAAATTTAAAATCTTATGATAGTATGCATTTGTACTGTAGTTGGTGATGTGTTTCTTCTACAGGCAGTTGTGACAAGGAAATCTGTCCTGAAACTGGCAGTTTCCTCCTGAGCACTGTAAGAAAATAGTGTGGCTAATCATTGCAACTTCTTTTCAAAAGGGAATGTATGTAAAATTATAAATCTGACATGAAAATTATGTAAAAAAAGAGATAATCACATCTGTTATTCTGTCTTAACAAATATCCTTTGTTCTTTTTTCTGGGTCCTTTCATTGAAATTAGCAGTACTTGGATTCTATATTACTTAGGGGACCAATTTATTCTCCTTACTGGAACAAAATGTCTCACAGTAAGCAAGGTTTCTGCTTGAGTACTGATGTCAATATCAAACCCAAGCAACTCAAGGGCACCACTGTTCTCTTAGACAGGCATCTTAACAGATCCCAGATGCAACATTTTTTGTTCCTTCATGATATGTAGAACTCTCCCTGAGAAATTTGCATATAGCTGAATACTACAGCATGCTTTTAGCATAACAGAAGACTCTTATGTCTTCCATATATACACGTCCAGTTTAAGTATGATACAAATACAAACTGTACTAGGTTAATCAATTGGAGGTCAGTGTAAGCTCCAGTCTGCTCTGGGTGATTCATAGTCAATAGAAGAGACATAAAATGAGGAATCCTTATTCAATGAGAAATTAATATGGTCCTAAATTAGTTTTTTGGGGGTTTGGGGTTTTTTTTTTGCGGTTTTCTAGTTCTAATCATGTTAGTAGTCTTGTAGACATCTTCCTACTGCCTCTGATAGGCATATTTCCTGTGAGAATATTTTGTCTGGCTTTAGACAAAAATCAGAAAAGTTCTCTCAGTCTGCATGACTTCAGTATCAGTTCTGGGCTTCTAGTGCATCACACAGGGAGGCTATATAGCATATGATTTATACTATATGCATACATTCAGATTAACAGAATCTGTGGGTTTTATTCTTCTAAGAAATTCTTGAGATATCTCAGTAGATACACTAAAAATACATGAGTAGCAAGTGCAACACAGATGAACATTTTATTGTCAGTCTCATGAGTACTATGGTTATCATCTGATTGCATTTATGATTTTTCAGTTAAACCTGGAAGGCAAGAAATTTGAAGAATGCCTGCACTGACCAAGAATGAATTAATGACTGTATGAGTACATCCAAACCTAACATGGCTATTTCAGAAGAGTAAATTATTTTTAAAAACTACACAAACATCAATGCAATTGCTTTTCCTGGTTCATAAACCTGTATAAATTCAGGTCCAGGTTTGTCAAATCCAGTACAAAGGAGAGGTACATTGTCAAATAAATCTTCTGATATATACTTCTACATAATTCAGAAAAGCATCTTTTTCTCAAAGAAAGTCTTGCTTTTTAATATTGATCTTCCATGTTTATAAAATAATTACTTTATAATTAATTAGTGGTCAATCCCCATTTCCTTTAATAAGCGTCATTCTTCTATTTTTCCTTTCATAGAATCACAGAACAGTTTGGGTTTGAAAGGACCTTAAAGATCACCTATTTCCAACCACCCTGCCATGGGCAGGGACATCTTCCACTAGACCAGATTGCTCAGAACCCCATCCAACTTGGCCTTGAACACTGCCAGGGATGGGGCATCCACAGCTTCTCTGGGCAACCTGTTCCAGTGCTTCACCATCCCCACGGTAAAGAATTTCTTCTTTAATCTAAACCTACTCTCCTTTCAGTTTGAAGCCTGTCACTACATGTCCTTGTTAAAAGTCCCTCTTGAGCTTTATTGTAAGTACCCTTTAGGTACTGGAAGGCCACTATAAGGTCTCCCAGGAGCCTTCTCTTCTCCATCCGAACAATCCAAACTCTCTTAGCCTTTCCTCCAGCTGCAGCCCTCTGATCATCTTTGTGGCCCTCCTCTGGACTCATTTGATCATTAACTTGTACTTCATTCACTTTCCTTGGTCCTTAACTATTAGTGTCGAAGCAAACATAACTAGGTTAGCCAGAAACATTACCTTTACTTTTATTCAGAAGTGTTGTATGTCTGAAGCAATCTTCTAAATTAGAAGACAATTAGTAGACACCAAGATTTCAAATGTTCTTGTAGTCAAAACCATACACAATGTGAATGACTAGTAAAAATCAAACATTCTCAACATAAGCCTTAGGAATTTAAATGGTATTTTTTAATTACGAGCCTAACAAAACTGCTTTCCTTTTCAAAAGAGCAGTAGTTGATGAGACTTGCCTTGGTATAAAGGCTTAGCAGTGAGAACTCTCATCTGGTTGTTACCAGTCTTAGAAGGTCAAACCCACAAATGCCCTCAGAGAAGGCTTTCCTTGGCTGTGGAAGGCTTTCCTTGGCTTTCCTTGTGCTAGGAATGAGAGGCATGCACCACTCTTATTGTTGAAATCGAGTTGATTTGGAAAAATAATTAACAATACATTTATTCCAGAAGAGATTAGAATACAGTTCTGCAAGCTAATGTTTAGTGTTTTGAACACTCACCGTAGCGCATCCAGCTTCTCCTTCACTGAATGCATATTTTATCCAACTCAATCACATTAAAAAGGCTACCAGATTTAAAAAAAAAAAATTAAAAAAAAAAGAGAAAGGAAGCCATGAAATCAATGATAACTGGTTTTCAGACAGATTTCAAATATATATGTTTGAAAATATGTTTTTTTCTTTGTATGCTAGGAAAAGTGATTGCTTTCTGAAAGGAAAATGTTTAATCAGACATATCTTTACTAATACTTCTCAAAGTTTGAATTTTCTTCTTTTCACTGATTATCAGTGTTATAAAGCTCAGTTCATTGGTGTATACAGTTGGTTCTCTCTGGCTTCATTTGTGGCCATCAATATTTTCATAGCAAAATGTGAATACTGAAAATATTTCACTGTGATCTGCACAGTGATGGATCTGTTCTTAACTCACATACATGCATTGTTCCTACTAGAGTTTGGGATTCCTCATTGTATAATGTCCTTGGGCCTTTTTTTTTTTCTTTTCTTAACTAAAAGCCAGTTTGTCTTCTACCTTTCTTCACACAGGTATGTCCACACATCCTTCTGACATAAGAATTCTTGGGAAGTAAAATACTACTCACTGTGAACTAAAAGAAGAAATGAGCCCTTAGTTTACTGCAGAATAAACAAACCAAGAGAAAACAATTTTCAGGCAAACCAGGTTTAGAATATTTAAGATGTGTACTATGATAAACGTGATTCACTAAGGTGCTCTATGAATGTGTTATTTTTAGATCAATCTTCTAACATGATGCTCTGTTTTACTCTCTGCTCAGTATTCTCTTGTGTTAGACCCTAATGTTTTTGCTTTTATAAAGGGATGTTGGGAACTTGTTTGTTATTGAATTTTTAAAAGTTAAATAAACAACAAACATGACACCTTATAAAAGATTTCATTTTGGAAACTTATTAAGGGAAAAAGCCCCGTGTTTAGCTGTCTTAAAAACCACAGATAACACCAGCTTTCCTTGTGAAGCATTTCGGAGAATCTAATGGAAATGGTAGTTCTTACTACTCTCAAGTTAAATTTGCAGTTTTGTTAGGCAGCATTTAAATAAATATTAAATTATAAGTACTAATGCAGATCATGTGTCATGAACTCTAGCAGTGTCATATCCTCAAATGGTAAAGTATATTATTTTGTAAAAACAAGTGAAAATGCAGATATAATTAAAATAAATTAGATGATCTTGATTTCGTATGCTGTATACAAAGCCAAATTGATTGGATTACCTCCACCGCTCCATCAGTTTTTAAGATAAAGTAAGCAAGGGGCTTAATCTTTGTTCTTTACTCATTAGTCCTTGGAGATGAAAATTATAAAATTCCTACTACCTGTATTGGAAGCTGGATCATAGAAGACTGAAAGTGTGATTTTGCAAAATAATTATATATATATATAGATTAAAATATTTGTCTTACCTTTTTCATTTTAGCTTTAGCCATTCTGGAAGACTGAAATGAAAATAGTCTTCAGAAAAACGTATTTTGGTATCTTCAGATGGCATCTTCCAAGATCTTGTCTCATTTACCAGTTTTGTCACAGCAAGTACATTCTGTGTCACCTAAGTCTTCATACCCTTAAGCAGAACAGTCAGTCATGTAGACCAAGCCCATATTACTGCTTTTGCTGTAAAAGAAAAGAAGAACATGTCCAGAGTCAGTGTACAACAGTTGTCTAAGGTCTGATTCTTTCTAATCTATCTAATTCCTTGCTTGATCTAAAGCATTATTTATTTCATGTTAGTTTAACAATGAAATTAAGTACAGAGAAAGATTAATTGCAATAACATTTCCATGATAGTAGTTTGCTGTTAAACTCCAATTCAATGAAATTGAATTGGCATCTGGACAGATACTAGACTATTTTTCAGCCACGTTTCTAGATGTTTTTCAACTGTTATGCTACTTACTACCAGTTCTCAAATAAAATTCCACTTTGTCCCAATAGCTGTAAAAAAGATTCTTAAAATCCCATGTAGATATTGAAAGTACTAAAACCTTTGCAAGCCCTTTGCTGGGCTTATATAATAGTTTCACATTTAACAAGTAAAGCTGAACATCAAAAGCTGATGCTCACTTCCTCTGTTCAGACTGTTAAATACCTGCCTTCCTTCTCTTTTGCTATTTACCCATTAATGTTGGTTTTACTTTTGCCAGTTCAGGAAAACCTGCCTGACAGCCATGGAAATCTCGGGCCGTGAATTCTCAGTCTCAAAGGTACTGTGTTTGTACTTTATGAAATGTTCCCATTTCTTAACAGACAGGTACTATTTTTTTGAAAACCAGCACAAGCGGTGTACGGTTTCTTGGACCCTCCCCTGATGTTATTGGAGTGGATTTTCTTCCTACATAACGGCATCAAGCAAAGATACTAAAATAGACATTACCAGGAAGAAAAAGCCTGCTATGCAAAAAACCCTACTTTTAATTTTTAAAACCAGGTTTAAAGGTTTCTCTGTGATCAGGCTTCATCTGTCCTGAGAAATTTAAGTAAAAATTATGAAAATACCATATTTGCAAGGTAAGGTTAAGTAAATATTATGTGTGTGCATTTCTGCTTATGATTGTACTTAAATTATTATTTAAAGGTCGTTGTTTGTCAGAGTATTATCATTGTATTAACCCTTTTACAACAAAAAGGCAGCCATGACGGCCTCCAGAACTGCTCCTTTTTTGCTGTCTCAAAAA